GCACACTCTATATGACATGCATTTTTTAACAGCATTTTTATAACATGTAAATTAACAATATATACATTAACGATTTGTACTAGCATCTTCCTGTCTTTCAATATTTCTTTTAATAATTGCATAGTTCAATCAAATCTTTATGGCAAATATCTATACAATTACATTACAATTTTCTTACAGTTCTGTACATGTTTAAATAAGACATTTTACCATCCACTTGAGTAGGGTAAGCTAATAAAGTTTGTGTTTAAATCTATTATGTACTTCGTACTTGAAAGTACTATACAGCAGATAAAAATATATATAATCGCCTCTGTAATTAGATATCCTATATTAATGGTTGATTAACCATTTTCTTTAGCTTTTTCAACCGCACTTTCTTGAAGAGCAATTTTGATAGATGATAATTTTTCTTAATGTATCGCGAATCGTATCATGCGTCGCGAAACTAATTCCTACAGCAATCGGGCCTTTCACCCAATTCATGCTCAAGCCTTTATAGAAGGCCATTAAACCTTCTTCTCTGAAAACGATAAATAACTATCAGTTTCAGTGATAACTAAAATGGCATAGGAAAATAAAGTTGTTGACATACCTGTAAATTTTCATGATAGTCGAACTGATCGTGTGATAGTGCTGGCCTTTGATTGCCGATGTCTGCATTCTTCTTCGAACGATGTCCAGAGGATAACTGCTAGTCTGTGCAACCATTCCAGCAATAGCGCCGCAAATCAGCGATGTTGGGAATCCAGAAATAGAGTAGCCCGCCGTGTACACTGTTCATCGACACGTAGCCATCATCGAACATGAAGCACGTACTTGAAAAACGCCGCCATCGGACTTGTCTCGACAAGTGTCACTATTAAAGTAAGTACTGTCCCAATATCGGGAAACAGCCCCGATGTGCCCCAAGGGTACCCTGCTTTGCGATAATACACGAGCCACTCTCGTTCGTATAAATCACGATTTTTTTTTCTCTTTGCATGGTAAGCACCGTCTCGGGATAGAACAAGTTTTTTTTAAAGAGCCGACTCACCAGTCAAAAAGTTCCTGAGTAGATCGTAGGTGAAGAAACTGCAACCGGCGTAAGGAATGACACCAAGTATCGTTGCAACGAACCCACGATAGTAGGCCCTTATTCCCTCTTCCACGTAAATGCGTACAAATATCTGCCGCAATGTTTTGTACTCAGCCCTTTGTGTCACAGCCATTCTCGCCCTCATCAAGTCCAGGGGATAAGTTGTACCTTGAGACGTTATGCCCGCGAGGGATCCAGCAAGAAAATTCAATCCAGGTTGGTTTCTGCACAAAACAGTTTTCTTTTTATGAATAATTGTGATCCCCTAAATTTGACAACTACGTTTCGTGCTACCATCACTGTCATCCTACCTTTCCGTTCCATTTATACCAAGAATTCTTTTCCACTGTTCATGAGCGGTGAATTGAACAGCCGAATATGGAACGATTCTGACCATCGTTGCACTGTTTCCGCGCCATAAGCTTAATAAGCCTTCTGTCTTAAGTGTTTTTACTATAAATTTAATTGCAGCTTTCGCAGTATACGGTTGCTGCGAAATTTGGAAGTTTATCTTTGTGCGATCTAACGGTGCTATCGTAGTTTTCGCCAATGCACCTGCAATAGCGCCTGCAACCAAACTCGTCCATACTCTTTGCGTATTCGATATACCATCGCGGCCGACATTTTTTTCTTGTTTCTTCTGAAATACACAATTTAATGTTGTGTATGATATAGCTGAATATCAGATTTTCCACTGACTGAAATCAGATATGCAATGAAAATTCAAATTTGTAAAACATGATTGGACTGTTTTATGCATTAGTTTTAGTTAATAGTTGCAATAACTTTTGGTCATTTAAGTGTCTAAAATTGACTAGACGTATATTATTTTAAATGTTAACAAAATGCATATTCATACATGAATGCTTAAAAAAATTCTTTATTACTTACTGTATTATCCGCATTTAGAACTTCCATTGAAAGAGGTGATGCACTTTGTAACATGGACACTTGCTTGCCTGAGTTTGTCAATACACACATCAGTGTTCATTCAATAACCACTTGGCTATTGTCACCAAGGTAAGTTTCTTGAATGCATACCCATATAGTTTTAATGGTTTAAATTCAATTCTATACAGGGTCTTATACAATTTTCTATACAGAAACAAAGATTTTGATAATAATTATATAGGTTTGTAACGATTTCACCATTATTTAAAGACTCATATCTTGTTTACAATAGTATGTCAACATCTGCACAACGAACATATAAGAAGCTATCAAGTAAAAACATTGAATTGATATCTTAAACAGATACCTTATGTAACGCTGATATTTGTAATTTAAAGAGATACTCTTTTAACTACAGATTATATACATTTGGAAATAAAAGAAAGATACTAATTATCATTGACCGAGTTTTGCTATTATGTTGTAAGTACTTTTATCATAATAACTTCCTACAAACTTCTCAGTTTTACTTAGTATTAGTAAATGAATGTAAATAAAGCAGTAGTTTCAAATATAGTACTAACTAAATGATCATATACATGAAACAAATATTACAGGTCCGTTTTAGTTTTATCAGCTTGACTTCTAAGTGTACTACTTTGTACTTCCTCAAAAAAATTAAAAAAATCTATTGACAAATTAGCTGTGATTATATTAGTAATTATACTGATAATTACATCGTTTAATCTTATTAACGCTAATTGATGATTATATTCAATAAAATAGTAATTAAGATGAGTGAACTTACATAATAGATAATATACTATGTGTTCAACTGTTCTTACAGTTATCTCAATTAGGTGAAAAAATATACATTTCGCAAGTATAAATTATATAGCAATACTATTTATATCTCGCACTAATTAAACTGTATGTACTACAATCATGTGCATGACGCACAACTTGCTAAGATGTGGAATATAAAATATATGCATATATAGTATGTACTATGTAATAACGAATTTATTATTGAGAATTTTCAGGCTTAAGTGTGAATAATGGCCGTAGTAGTGTGTTATTTTTAAATTTCGTATCTATGTTCTCGCATGAGCTTGAGTTTCATTTAAAGACAAGACTTATATTAATCGTAAATGACATTATTTTGTTTTACGATCGTATGAAAAAGACAAACGAGTTAGTTTGAAATGTGAGAGACAAAGCGGTAAATTTACTATACGTATGTGAATATGTAAGGAGAAATCCGTACCTTCCTTAAGTGTACTGTAGAAGATAACGATGAGCAATTAATTTAGTTTGTGACAACCACTACCATATAGTGAACATGAAATCGGAGCATTCGTGCCACTGGCCAAGATACTTTACATTATGAGATAGGCGCACATAGAAATCTGATAACTTCGCTTAATGATAAAACCTCCTCCAATGATTCCTTACGCGCAACCCGCGCTGACACGCGTAACTAACTGACACTAAATTCTACAAACATTATAACGTCATCTTCGTGAAAACGTACATATTGTATATATAACGCACACCACATAATCAATTCATATATACATCCAATTCATGTATACATCTGATTGAATTTTTCGATACGAACCAAACACTGTGACGTACGACCTTGGAATATATTTGGTTGTGTATTCTAGAGGGAGTCACCGATCAAACTGAGCGCTCTGACTGCTCTGGACTCTGGACGGCTTATCAAATCAACCAGCGGTGAACCAGCGGTTCCTGGCTCCTAGAGAGTAATGTCTTCTCGGTGCTATATAATATAATTTCAAACGTGATGCTTTAAATTTAGATTATTCTGTGCATTTCATAGTAATTTCAAACTAATTAAATTCTATTTCTAGAAATGTTTAGTAAATGATTAGTAAATCTAGAAATGTACTGATGAAGTAGAAATCTGTATGAGCTCCGATTTTACTTTTGTCATTTGTTAGCGACCTTTATCTCCTCGGTGGTGACCTCTACGCATTATTCGTGAAGGCGCGATATCTACATTACCGCTAATATTTGTTTTAAATTTATAGTCAAATTATAGGTGTTAAATATTAATAATATTTCGATTTCTGTAAAAATTAATCAACTAAGTTTCATTATTTATAGCAAAATATATATTAACCTTATTTTTTGTGCACGTTGCTTTAGTTCAAATTGTCACCGTTCTGGCGCCATGGAGTATAAAGTTTCAGCGGGAGCGGGAGTTCATTGGTGAGGATGAATAATTAATTGTTCATTTGCAAAAGTTTTCAATATTCTGGAGCACCCGCGTTTACAAAGACTGAAAGACTGAAGCACATTTTGTCAACGCCAGGGCTTCAACTGTTCCCTTCAGCATCACATGAGCAGAGGTGAGTTATTTTATACTTTCTTGCATGCCATCTATTTTCTTTCTGCTTATAATTAGTATTTCATTAACAGCAAGGTTATAATATAAATATTATAGCTTCTCCTTTTTTTAAAGATATACAAGACGTATATGTATTAGTTACATGTTACATTATACATAAAACAATTTTACTATACAGCGATAATTTTTTATTAAAAGACAATTTAGAAAAAATAATTTGCTTAGTAGTAATCTACAAACTTCAAAAGTATTGTTATAGCAATGACTCATGTTTAAAACTGCTTAAAATTGACTTGTATTTAAGTATACGAAATCAACGTTTTCGGCAAAGAAACAAATTAGAAAATAGAGAATATCGAAGGAAGGCACGGTAAACGTTACGTCGTTGACGAGGCCCGTAGATCCGGTCTGTTATCACTGGAATTTTAAAAGGCCGCCTCCTCGTCAACTTGGATTTATTCGAATTAAAACCCTGCAGGGCCGCACGCCGTCTGTCTGTCTGATAAGATTCTTTCTCGTGAACAGGAACGGCACCAATACTTTTCGTTCTATGTTCAAAATTTTTCAAGACCATTTCAATATTAACAAAAAAAAATATTCTCAGTACAAAGAAGATATTAGCTACACATTTTGGTTTAAATTTTTAATTCGTGAAATAATTATACATTTTCATTGCTCTCGATTGAAAGTATCGTAGCCGTTGATTGTAAAACGTTAGATATGTTATCGGTTAGCAGACTGGAGATACGCGTTTATGTATAGTGTTCTGTACTCGACTACCGACATTGAAATTGCATTATAGAAGTTCGATCAGGCATTCAAAGTCGTGCAAACCCGTAGCAATCTCGACTAACGATTGATTTTCAACAAGCAAAACGTATGTAATTAAAGCAAAGAAAGAAATCTGATCACGTTGCGTATAGCGACATGAATTTTACACTTACAAACTTTATTTAAGAAAACGATAAACAATTTCAAGAAGTAGGCAAACATGACTTTAATAATAAACCAATCTGTATTTCTCGTATTTGGTACTTCACACGGTGCCATATGAAATTCTTTCTCGAAACGCGTGTCTTCGATTCGATTTTAAAGCAAAATATTCCTACTACTTGATTCTAAAAGAGATTTAGTCTGAAATTCTGTTTTTCGCGCATGTGAGATTTATTTTTCTGGATCACGTAGAATTTCTACAAACGGTCAGAGAACATGGGGCACTATTTCGAGCGTGTCCTTACCTGGGGATTCGGTGTCCGCGTCTGACTTTGCTTTATGCGGACACTTTATGCCCCCGATTGCGAACGACACCGGAACGCTCTCAAGTCCTCGGCACCGATCGGGATCCTTTAACCGATCGCAAAACAACGAGAGCGGTTTTAATTTAAGGTTCCAAGAAGGACCGGGAACTCCGTTTGCTTCGTTCGGGTCTATGAGCCGGCGGCACGTTTTAATAATCGTGTTCTACAAAGGCGACGAGCATTCTCGTAAACTAAGATACGTATTTATGCACGAATCTCTTATCTACTGACTCAACGAAGACTCCTATAAACGTAAATACGAAGAATGTTCATCGGGTTGATCGGAAATTTAAATTGAACATCGACAGATATCGATCGTTCAAACTATAGCTTTGGAATTTGCTTCGGCGAAGGTTTTCGAAGCTCCTTGCGAGATCCGTACAAGAATTAGTCGGCAGCTTATTAATAAGTGAATTTAGATAGGTTCATTACATTTTTATGCAACTTTAAGAAGAGGATCATACATATTTTAGTGGTTATTAAAATATACGTATATTATAAAATTTTCATTTAGCGTTCGTTAAACAAGATTCACCAGCGTTTTCGAATTTATGGACCATGATTTGCGATCACTAGTTTAAAAATAAAAGATAAAAGAATTTAATTTTCAAGCTATTAGCTCCGGAAACACATTGATGGAACTTAGGTTACAAGGTTCTATGTATGGTCGAGGGGTCAGGAGTCAAGACACGAATCGAGATGGGGGTCGAAAATAATTTAATGACTGCAAATGGCAGTCTTGGGAAAATTGGCACTGCAACGTGGCCAATGAGTGGGAGAGACAAATGCAGTGCTAAGAAACGTCGGCGAACGGTGCGGTCCCATTTGGTCTTTAAACGTTTCGTAAAAAGAACTGGACACGATTTACGTTTGATTATACCTTCGGCTCGGGTCAAAAGTCGGCACGAAATGATTCTCGATAGGGGATAAGAGCGACCAACCAACTGGTGAATTATAGGTAATGACTAATAATATACCCAGGATCTTGGATAGAATCGACTATTCTTCTTCGTTCAAAAGAACAATGAAATATCTGATAATGCTTTCTTCGCAGCCGGTGCATACAACTTTAAAGGGGCAGTTTGCATAATTTGCGTCATATTATTTACCACATAATATACTTAAATTATTTGTCGAAATCATTGACGACATCAACTTAGGATTTTCCAAATATTTAAATAATGCATGCGACGTGAAATATTTTAACCCGTTTACAGTGTATGAGTTAATAATTCACAGTTGTTAAGTGTTTCTTGAGTTATTCGAGACAGACTTTTGAGAAAATTGGCTTTTAACAGAGTTGAGTATAAGTCACAAATAAAAATTTTGGTGTGCGCATATTAATTAGGTGTTATCTTCAAGTATGTACATATTTATTGGGTTGGCAACTAAGTGACTGCGGATTTTAAATAAGAAGTCTATGGATAAACTCCGCAATTATTTAGTTGCCAATCCACTACATTATAGGATACAAGTTCGTATATTTCTCGAGCTCAGAAAAATTATGCGAGATAAAATGTCCAATGGTTTTGATATGCAGTTTTTCGAGTGAAATGACGCGTTCGAGATAACGAGCTATTCGAGGCAGAGAGCCTAAACGTAGAGGCCATGATAGTACGTAACAGGATTCGGTAATTCAATCATAGCTCATGTTTTTTCATTGGTATCGATTTCATTTGATTTTGCATAAAATGCCGATTTGTATTCAATTCGTTACAGACTACAGTTGATTAGAGTTAAGTAATCGATGTCTGCCATTTTAATTATTTCCTTTTTATTTAATTCGCTTGTCTTGTATTTCGTATAAAAATGTCTAACTCTAAAGCTTTCATTAGTCTTATGTAAATAGCAATACGTGACAGGCCAAATTCTTACTGTTGAAGTGTATATGTATGTATACATAATACGTATACGTACACTGTACATGTATGTATTCATATCGTATTCTTTTTAATGAGGTTCCTAATGTTTTGTCAACTTCTCATTTACCTTTATTAGGGTTCTGAGAGCCTACAACTTTTATGGCTTATATAATAGATAACACCTTAGAGATAATACTAATTGGAAATTTCGGATATGTCTTTAGTGACTGTTTAATATACGTACATATATA